GCTGCGGCTTGAGGAGAAAACCCGGGAGTGCGGGTCGCTGGCCCGGCAGCTGGAGAGCGCCCTCGAAGACGCCAGGCGGCAGGTCAGTGTCTGTCTGCCCCAGCTTTCTGAGCCTGGCTCCCCAAATGACGAGTGGGTAGAAGTGGCACCTGCCTCACGGCCTTGTGGGAAGAATCAGATGAATGGGGGCTCTCGCCTGTAACCTGAGCACTTGGGAGGCCGAGGCAGGAGGATTGTCATGAGTTCAAGGCCAGCCCAGGCAACATGATGAGTTCGGGCCAGCCTGGACTGCATAGCGAGACCCTGTCTCAAAAAAACAAACCAAATCAAATGAGTAATTATTGTGCAGGGCTCAGGTGCTTCTACAGATTGCTCGTTTACTGCAAGTCTTAGCTGGGGAAGGGGAGGAAGACGGGTGCAGGCATAGGCTCAGCCCTTAGCTCCTGTCTGGAGCCCCCGGGAGCTCTTCCCACACTACTGTGCAAGTGCTGGCAGTGCCAGGCCTCTCTGCCCACCTCTGTGCCTTCCCTTGCAGGTGGAGCAGACCAAGGAGCAGGCGCTCTCCAAGGAGCGAGTGGCCCAGAACAAAATCCTGGACCTTGAGACGCAGCTGAGCAGGACCAAGACGGAACTGAGCCAGTTGCGTCGGAGCCGTGAGGATGTGAGTTGGGTGGGAGGTGGGACCGAAAGACAGCCCTGGATTATGCTTTGGTCCTTGGGACCTTGGGCAAGGTGTTCTGTTGTTAAGAATCTAACTTCTTTTTTCAGTTACTTTGCCATCTCTTAAGGATGCCCCATATAAATACTTTTTTTTTTTTTGGTACTAGGGATCAAACTTGAACTCCTGTCCTTGCGTGCAGCAAGTGGTGAAACTACTGAGCTAAATCCCCAGCCCTAGACACCTTTTTAAATACAACTTTAGCAGGGTGTGGTGGTACACACCCAGCACTCAAGAGGTTGAGGAAGAAGGATCGATGCAAGTTCAGTGCCAGCCTGGGCTTCAGTGAGTTCAAGGGTAGTCTGGACTACATAGCAAGACCTTGTCTCAAACATCCCCCCCAACTTTATAATGTTTATATCCCATAAAATTTACTCACTCAAATTGTATAATTCAGCTGGGCCTGGGTGCTGCATGTAATTACAGCATTTGGGAGGGTGAGGCAGAGGATTGCTATGAGTTCAAGGCCAGTCTGGGCTACATACCAAACACTGTGTCCAAACCCAACCCACCACCGTAAATTGTACAATTCAGTAGTTTTCCGGGAGTGTACTCACAGAGTTATGCGATTACTAGGATAATCTAGGTTTGGAATATTTTTAGAAAAAAATCCCCAAGCCACCTACCCAGGAGGCTGAGGCAGGAGGATTGATTGACTCTAGGTGTTAAAGGGCAGTTTGGGCAACACAGCAAGAACTTGTCTTTCTCTTTTTGCTCTCTTTTTCTTTTTTTAATGTTTTTAGATAGAGTCTCACTGTGTCATGCAGGTTGGCCTTGAACTTACCCAGGCTCACTTGAACTCAAGGTGATCCTGGGCCGGGGATTTAGCTCAGTGGTTCCGCTGCCTGCTGCGCAAGCACAAGGACCCGAGCTCGATCCCCAGTACCAAAAAATAAATAAATGAAAAGACAAACAGGGCTGGGGATTTAGCTCAGTGGTTCTGTTGCCTGCCTCGCAAGCACAAGGACCCGAGTTCGATCCCCAGTACCAAAAATAAACAAAAGAAAAAAAAATTGCTGTGATTTCAAAAAAAAAAAGCTAAACAAACTCACTCCCCATGTACCTCCCTAGCCTGACACCCTGTATGAAAGTCCTGTGTCTGATTCCGCTGTCCCTTGTACAACCCGTTTCTCTCCCAGGCGGACCGCCGCTACCAGAGCCGCCTGCAGGACCTGAAGGACCGCCTGGAGCAGTCAGAGAGCACCAACCGAAGCATGCAGAACTACGTCCAGTTCCTCAAGTCCTCCTATGCCAACGTGTTTGGGGACAGTCCCTATACCTCCTTCCTCACCAGCTCCCCAATCCGCTCGAGATCACCCCCTGCCTGAGGCTGCCTGCCCTGGGCCAGAACCCTGCCCAGTGCCAAGAAAGGAAGGAGTTGCCAAGCCATAGCCGAAAAGCTGCTGGCCCCACGTCCCGGTGAGGAAGCGTCTGGGCTTGTCCTTGGCTGTGACTCCAGATCATCCTAACTCGGCAGGCGGAAGCAGGGCACACTTGGTTGTCTCCTTCCCGATGGCGCTGTCATCTGATGGAATTTTGTTAAATTTTCTACTCCGTCGGGGAAGCAGATTCCAACTCCCCTCGAGTTGCCAAGAGTCTCCCAAGAGAGTGTGGACTGGACTTCCCCCTCCAGTCCCCACCTAGCCTCATCTTCTTGGGAATCCGTCTTGGGATTTCTGATCTGAAACAGCAGACATCTCGCCTGGGCTGCGAGCAGCTTTCCTGCCTCTTTCTTGTTTCACGGGTACAGGCAGGTGTGGCACTCTCTCGAGGTTCAGGGAGCCCTCGACACCTCTCACACCTGTTTCCTTGAGGCCACTCGGTCCCTAGCACTTCACAGACACCTTCTCAGGGCTCGGGTCCCCTCTAGACTTTACAAGTGTAACGCCGAGCTCGTCCATTCCGGTTTTCTTTATATCTCTAGAACACATTTATTCTTGAAATATTTGTATGGTTTTACAAAAAGTTTTATAATCAGTTATTTAAGGCTCCCTTTATCCAGCCACCCCATCCCTCTTTTAAAAAATGAGTAAAGTAAAATGCTGCAGGAGAAAGTAAATGTTTTGAAAGCACTTGGTATGTGAAGCATCAGACTCTCTTTTATTTTGGCATGTTTCTTTTTCTTTTTTCTGAGACAAGGTCTTGCTGTGTCATTTAGGCTGATTTTGAACTCATTGTGTAGTCCTTGAACTCATGGCGATCCTCCTGCCTAGTCTTTCAAGAGCTGTGATAAAAAGCGAGCACCCAGCTGTTCTTTCACCTTTTTGCACTTTCACATCATAACGCTCAGATGTCTGAAGGAAACCCACTTGGTGAGACATTGCTCGTGCTTTGGGTAGGCCCCTCTGCCTGTTAGGAAGAGCATGGGAGGTTCTTGTATTTTATTTTTTTTTAACGTTAACGGGTTTCTGAATGTTAAGATTATGGACCACTTTTCTGTATTTATATGAAAGAATAGGCCAGGCAGAGTGACACTTTAATCCCAGCCACTCAGGAAGCTGAGGCAGGAGGATCACAAGTTTGAGGGCAGCCTGGGCAATTTAGGTAGATCCTGTGTCAAAATAAAAACTATGAAGGGCTGGAGAGGTAGCCTGGTGATAGAAGGCTCCTGGGTTTGATACCCAGTACTGGGGGGTGGGGGATGGGGATGTAGCTCAATGATAAAACACTTGCCTAACAGGTGCAAGGGCCTGCCTTCCATCTCTAGGACCACAAAAAAAACACATAAAAAAGGAACAACCCAAGCACGAGGTGCTGAGTTCGATCCTTGGTACAAAAAAAAAGGAACAACCACATTCATTAGAGAGACAAGAACAAACTGGTGCTGTGGTGAACCCTGTAGCCTTTTCATTCTAGCTGGAACATGTTTCTGTCCCTTGGCCTTGTCATCTCTCACCCACTATAACCCAAGTACAAAACACTTTGTCCTTGAAGGCAATTCCCAGCCCAGCATATTTGATTTCAAAGGCTGGAAAACTCCCCTTCAAATTTCAAGGAAATTTGTCATTTCCAGTTTTAAGTATTTCCAATGAAAGTTTTGAGTCATTGTCTCACTATGTAGTCCAGGCTGGCCTTGAATTTGTGATTCTCCTGCCTCAGCCTCCTGAGTGCTGGGATTACTTGTGTGTGCCACCACACTCCACCGAAAGGAATTTTAAAGTTAGCTCCTATTGCCACAGAACTGAGTCCATTTTTTTCTTGTAAATAGATTTGATTTTATAAGACCTTAAAAAAGAACAAGCAGCAAACTTACACCAGTATGTACCTATAGACCTGTGTAACGCATAACCAGTCAGCAAACATGTGAAAACTTAGTGCAGGGCTGAGCTCCCCAGCACCACTGAAGGGGGTCCATTCCTGGGACACTCCCACCAGCCTTCTATTTTTCTTTGTAAAAACTTTTATTAGAAAAAGTCCAACCCAAGGGCTGGGGATCTAGTGCAATAGTTCCGTCGCCTGCTTCGAAAGCACAAAGACCTGAGTTTGATCCCCAGTACCAAAAAAAAGTCTAACCCAGTTGTGGTGCCCTCACAAGGTTGAGGCAGGAGGATCACTGCGAGTTCGAAGCCAGCCTGGGCTACATAGTTTAAGGTCAACCTGGACTACCTAGCAAGACTCTGCCTCAAAAAAAAAAAAAAAAAAGTCCAGGGAATTCGTAAAAAAAAAAAAAAAATCAGAAGGGGCCAGGGATTTTTCTCAGTGGTTCTACCACCTGCCTTGCAAGTGCAAGGTCGAGTTTGATCCCCATTACCAAAAAAAAATCAGAAAATTAAAAATGTTCATACTGTTCATGAACATTCTCCAGAGACAACCCTTCCCACCTCAAACAAATCCTGTGAAATAAATGCTGGGCTGTAGAAGGGGCAAAAGGATGAGGCCCGGGTAACTGAGCCTCATGTTCTACTTATCTACTGAGAAAATTCAGAGACTGTAAAATGCAACCATTTAAGGTATATAATCCAGTGTTTTAGTGTACTCACCAAGGTGTGCAACCATCTCCATTATCTAATTTTAGGCCATTTTCATCATCCCCCCCAAAAAATAAAACCTGTATGGATTAGTGCACTCCCCATTCTGTCTCCCTGTCAACCACAAGTCTATTTTTTGAGACAGGGTCTCTAGGTTGGCCTTGAATGCATTATGTAGCCTAGACTTACAGGACAATCCTGCCTCAGCCTTCCCAGTGCTAGGATTACAGGCCTGTTCCACTACACCTGGCTTTTTCGTTGGTGGTGGATTTCCCTGATATAGATATTTCATATAAATGGACTCATACACCATGTCATCTTTGGTAGTTAGCAAAACACTACCATTTACCTTGTTGGGCGTACAAGTACTTTTTTTTCCCTTTTTTTTTTTTGTGGTACGAGGCGCAACCGGGGGTGGGGTGGGGGCTTGTTTTTGAGATAAGTCTCCCAGGCTGGCCTCGAACCATTTGGTTGCTTGCACATCTTGACTAACGCTGCTTCCAGCATTCTCATCCAGGTTTTACTGGTGGGCATGTTTCGTTTTTCTGGTATAGTTCGGAGAAATGTTAACTATGTTTATCCTTTTGAGGAGCTGCCAGACCGTCTCCCACAGCATCTGCCACATCTCACATTCTTACCAGCAGGCTGCCAGGGAGTGTCCCAGTTTCTCCGCACTCTCATTCGCAGCTGCCCGATTATCTGCATTTCCAGGGAAGGCAGCCACTGCAGCCCCACTTTGCGCACGCGCTTTAGAGAGTGGCCCTGTCGTCAGGGGCGGGGCTTACCGCCATTGGGGCAGGGCTCCCCTGCGCACGCAACCCGGAAACGGAAACCGATTCCCCTTTCCTGGCGGTGTATTCGAGGGCTCGCTTTGTTGCTAGCAGCGCCTCTGAGGAAGTGCGGCAGGACTGGCCATGCCGTCCGAGGGTCGCTGCTGGGAGACCCTGCAGGCGCTGCGCAGCTCCAGCAAAGGTCGTCTCTGTTACCACCGCGACTGGCTGCTGCGGGGCGAGGTGAGCGATGGCCTCGGGGGAGGTCAGGCTCTTCCGGCCCTGGCCAGTCCCCTGTGCGTTCCGAGCGTTCCGACAGCCTGCGTTTATTTCCTGACTCCTGTGTTTATTTCCTGACTCCTGTGTGTGGGTGTCTATGTCCTAGCGCTTCTGCCCTTTACAGGGTGTTCAGGGGGCTTCATTTTCACCCCAGTCGGGGTTAGGTGCCCCTCCTGTTGTCACGGCAACCTTGACCTTTCAAGCTCTGTTTTTTGTTTGGTTGTTGTTCTGGTTTTTTGAGGCGTTGTCTCACTATGTAGCCCAGGCCGGCCTTGAACTCTTGGTGATCCTCCTGCCTCTGCATCCCGAGTGCTGGGATTACTGGCATTTTTTTTTCCTTTTCCTTTTTTGAGACAGGGTCTCCCTGTGTAGTTCAGGCTGCCCTTGAACCTTGGATTCACTAGTCCATGCCGGCCTCGAACTCACATCGATCCTCCTTCCTCAGCCTTCTGAGTGCTGGGACTACAGGCCTGCGCCACCACCCTCAACCAGGGTCTGTTTTACTGTGCATCTCCAGTGCTCAGAGCTCCAGATTTAGCAGAGCGATTAACCGCCTGTGAAGTGACCAAATGTTTAGATGGTATTGGGTTGATCTGTTGAAGTGGGGGCGTGGTTACTGTGCCTTTTTTCACACCCCTGTACTACAAGTGGGAGGTGTGAAGACAGTTAAGGCAGAGCCCCTGATCCCAAAATACTGGCAGTCTAGCTACAGATGCATGTAGTCCTGACTCTTCAGACTTCCATGGAAAACAATTTTAAAAATATTTCTCTGTCTTTGATGGTTTGGGGAGTTTTAGCTGGGCACGGTGGCGTTAAGGAATGAGTAAAAGACTTTGTCTCAACATTATTTCTTTCTTATTTTTGAGACAGGCTGGCCTCGTACTCACAATGTAGCCCAGGCTGGCCTTAAACTGCTGGCAGCAGTCCTCCTGCCTCAGCCTCCCGAGTGCTGGGATTACAGGCATGAACCACCACACCTGGCTCTAATATGCTTTTTTTGGGGGAGGGTTCCAGGGATCGAACATGGGACCTTGCGCTTTCGAGGCAGGTGCCAGAACCACTGAGCTAAATCCCTAGCCCAACCAGGAGAGTGTTTAGATCTCATTTCATTTTATGGTCTTGCCAGAGAGATTTAGCTCAGTGGTTTCACCACCTGCCTTGCAATCTCGATGTCCCAAGTTCGATCCCCGGTACCAAAAAAAAAAAAAGAATTCTATCATTGAGCTACATCCCAGTCTCAATCAATGTGGTAAAGTGACTAATATTCCACTGTGTAAAAGATATCTTACCTCAAAATTCTTTATATGTTCTGTTCTGTTTTAATTTATATTGCTTTCCAAATTGTAGCCTAGGTTGTCCTCAAATTCACGGTGATCCTCCTGCCTCAGTGCTGGGGTTGCCAGTATGTGCCACCCTGCCCTGCATCAAAATTGCTTTAATGACAGTCTTCATATGTTGCTCCTTTTCTTTTAAAATTTTTTTGTAGTTTTGAATCCAGCATCTCACACATGTTAGGCAAGCAGTCTCCTACTGTGCTATAACCCCAGCCTATTTATTTATTTGGTACTTATTTTTTATTTTAAAAAAGTATCTTGCTAAGTTGCTGACTTGCCCAGGCTGAGCTTGAACTTGAAATCCTCCTGCCTCAGCCTCCCAGAGTACTGGAATTACAGGTGTGCGCCACCACACCCAGCTCTCTTTTATTTATTTATTTGGTACCTCGGATTGAACTCAGGACCTTGAGCTTGCCACAAAGGTGCTATGCCACTGAGCTGAATCCCCGGCCCCTCAACTCGGTCTTATTTTGAGACGATCTCCCTCAATTGCCCAGGCTGGGCTTGCTTCAATTTTTTTTCTTTTTTGGTATCAGGGATCAAGTTCAGGACCTTGTGCCTACGAGGCAGGTGGCAGAACCACTGAGCTAAATCCCCGGCCCCTTTGCTTCAATTTTGATCGTTCTTCCACTGGGATTATAAGTGTGCACCACCACTCGTGGCTACATTGTTACTTTTTTGTAGTTGGAGTTGTTTAGTTGGATTTTCTTTAGGATGGAGGCCAGGATCATTACCACGGAACCACTGTGCTTCCTATCCATCTCTGACTGTCAGAACAGTCACTTTGGGCCTTGGGAGATGTTCAGTGAGGCATGTGGTGGGTTATGCTTAGATCTAGGATGTGCGAGTTGGGCTTAGCCCTCTTTTTCTCCCTAGGATGTTCTAGAAGAATGCCTGTCTCCTCCCAAGCTGTCTTCTTACTCTGGATGGGTGGTGGATCATGTCCTACCCCACACGCAGGGGAACCCAGCTCCCTCCGAGACGATGCCATCATCGGGATCGACTTCTACCTTAGACCAGCCCCTGGTTGTTCCCAGGTCTCCTGTCCAGAGCGATGCCTTCTCTCCAGCGTCCCCCACAGCCCCTGATGGAGCCAAGGTAAAACTGGACTAGCTCAGCGCAAAACATGGTGGCTTCAGAGTTCAAGTGTTTGATGTCATAAGACAGTGACCTTCTCTGGGGGGAGTAATGACTGTTTCTTGTTACAGCTGTGTGTAGGGATAGTGTTTACTACATCAGCCAATGTTCTCTTTGCGGGGGGTGGTACTGGAGATCGAACTCAGGACCTTGTGTTTGCGAGGCAGGTGTGGTCCCACTGAGCTACATCCCCAGCCCCAGCCAGTGTTTTCTTTATGAAGACTCAGAGAAAACCTCATGCTGGTATCAAGAACAATAATCAGTTTCATGAGCAACTTTATTTGTTTTTCCTCAGGAATATTGCATCTGTTTAACTGTTGGCTGCTGAAAGGCTTAGAGTAAAATTTATATTTGCTCTTAAATTAAATTTACCTCTCTTACTGGTTTTAGTGGTTTAACCTGTAATCCCAGCTACTCAGGTGGCTGAGGTATGAGAATTGCAAGATTGAGTCCATCCTGGGCAACTTTTGTTGCCTCATAGACCAAAGGAAAAAAAATGAACCTTGACCTAAAGCTCGTATCTTTTGTTTGTTTAATTGTTTTTTTTCAGGGGGGGTGGGGGTACCGGGGATCGAACTCAGGACCTTGCACTTGCAAGGCAGGTGGCAGCACCACTGAGCTAAATCCCCGGCCCCCATAGTTTGTTTTTTTTTGAGACAGGGTCTTGGTCTGTAGTTCGGGCTGGCCTTGAGCTTACTACGTAGCCCAGGCTGGCCTCAGACTTATAGCCATCCTCCTGCCTCAGCCTCCTGAGTGCTGGGATTACAGGCATGCACCACCATCCTAAATGTCATATTATGTAACAATTACAAAATGATCAGGGACTTAAAGGTAAAACTGTAAGCCTACTAGAAATAAAATATAAGGCATAACTTGTAAAAGGAAAAATTGATGTTAGACCTCATTAAAATGATAGTTTTTGTTCTGGGAAAGACACTGCGAAGATGATATAAACAAGTACAAACTGGGAGAAAGCAGTTTGTAATTTCATATCTATATCCAGAATATACTGTACAAAAAGCTTTCAAATTTTTTAAAAGGGGGCAAATGATATGACCAAACATTTCATCTGCGACAGTATAAGATGATAAATAAAGCTATGAAAGGGTGTTCAACATTAGCTAGTAGGAAAATGGCAATTAAAACCACAGTGAAATATTATACTTTTTTAAGAAGAGTTGAGGGGCCAGGGATTTAACTCAGTGGTTCCGCTGCCTGCCTTGCAAGCACAAGGTCCCAAGTTCAACCCCCAGTACCACCAAATACTGTTGAGGATATGGAGAATCTGAATCACACATACATTTTGAATTGAAATACAAGATTGTCCCACGTTCCAGAAAACTGTGGCCAGCCAGGCAGGGTAGGGTATGCCTATAATCCCAGCACTCAGGAGGCTGAGGTTGGAGGATTTCTGCTAGTTCAAGGCCAGCGTGGGCTATATACTGAGGTCAAGGCCAGTCTGGAATACATACCAACACCTTGTTCCAAACCGCCCCATAATAGAAAACAGTTTGGCAGTTTTCTGTGAAACTGAACATGCTCTTAACTATGTCACCCAGCAATTGGATTCCTGAGTATTTATGTCAGAGAAATCAAAACTTCCATTCTAGCAACAAGTTGTAGACAAGTGTTCATGGCAGCTTTAGTTGTAATGTCTAAAAACTGAAAACGACTAAATGTCATTCACAAGGTAAATGGTTAAACACACTGTTTTGGATTAACCATGTCATGAAATTATTACCAGCAATAAAAAGGAGTGAACTGTCAGTATGTGGAGCACTCTGGATGAATTTCAAGGGCTGTATCCATCAGCTTTGTCATCACTGAGACACAGTGCCTGACATCCGCAATTTAGAAGAGAAGGGTTTACTTTGACTCAGGGTTTGGAGGGATTCAATCCATGGCCAGCTGACTCCAGGGCAGAAGGATCATAGTAGAAGGCTATGGTGGAGCAAAGCTGCTTAGCTCATGGCAGTTGGGAAGCAGACCAGGGAATGGTACCAGAGAGAGAAGAACCAGGTCTTTGGTGGCCAAAGTCATCTCCATGACCCATCCAACGCAAAGTGTTCTTTATCAGTCCCCTTGGCAGCTGCTCCCCAAGCCCATCAATTTGACACAATTAAGCTCAACTACCACAAGGATATTATATCAAGCTTAAGAAAAAAAAAGCTAATCTTGAAAGCTTATGTACTGTATAATGCCATTTGTTTAACATTCTTGAACTAACAACATTGTGGAGGTGGAGAACAGATTAAGGATTATGGACCAGAAAGGAAGTGGCCTGGCCACAAAGTTGTATGGGCTCGGCTCTGTGGTGCATGCTTGAAGTCCCAGCTATTTGTGAGACTGAGGCAGGAGGAATGCAAGTTCAAGGCCAGCATGAACAGCTTACTGAGATTCTATCTCAGAATAAATGCAAAGGGCCAAGAACATAGCTCAGTGATGGAGCACTTGGCTAACATGCACAAGACCCTAGGTTCAATCCAGGACAGAAGAAAAGAAAAAAAAAGATACAGAACTCTTCGCTCAACACCAGACTCCCCCATATCACATTTATTTTTTGCATGTTTGTTTTTTGCACTCCTGGGGATTGAACCCATGGCCTCTAAGCAAGCACTTGACCACGGAGTTACATCTCCATCCCTTTTTATTCCATTTTGAAACAAGGTCTTGATGTGTTGCCCAGGCTGGTCTTAAGCCTGGTGACCCTTCTGCCTCAGCCTCTGAAGTACCTGGGTTTGTAGGTGTGTGCCGTCACACCTGGCAAGAGTTATGTATATTAAGTGTACTTATGTCTATGCAAGTCTACATGCGATAAAATTGCACTAAACTGTACATAAGCACAAAATCTGTTGAAATCTGAATAAGCCCTCTGGATTGGACCAATGCTGATTTCTTCCTGGTTTTGATATTTCTGTATATTTATGAAAGATGGCGCCATTGGGGGAGACTGGGGGAACCATACACAGGACCTATGTTCATACTCTTGCAGCTTCCTGTGACATAATTATTTAAAAATATGTTTGAAAAGTGTATGTGATGAACTTCTCAGAGCCAGCAGTTGTAATGTTGATCCTAACGGTTCCCCTCACGAGGTCTCAGTTTTTTCAACTGTAAATCTGACACTAGACTCACTTATTGGTCCTCTCTGGGTACAAAGTTCCATAATTTTTTGAATTTACATATATTCTTGGGCCAGGGATGTAGCTCAGCAGTGCAGTGCTGGCCTGACAAGCGCAGGACCTTGAATTTGATTCCCAGTACCAGGAAAAAAAATTTACACACATTCTTGAGTGATTTTATTTATTTTATTTTATTTATTTATTTATGGTACCGGGGATCAAACTCGGGTCCTTGTGCTTGCGCAGCAGGCGGCGAAACCACTGAGCTAAATCCCCGGCCCTCTTGAGTGATTTTATATACTATGTTATTTTATCATTCAGGAATTTTTGGTGTTTTTCAGAAACCCAGTGAAACTAGCTTAAGGCAAACAAGGGTTGGGGGAGGAATTATTTCCCATAAGCAGAAGTGAATATGGAGTTACTTAGATTCAGAAGGTCAGCGTTCTCCTTACTACTTGGCATTATTTTTGATTTGATCCAGTGACCCAAACGCGGTGGGTGTGTTTCCTCCTGTTTCTCCGTTCTTCTACACTCTTGTTGCTTTTGTCTTGTGGCCAGGCACTATGTGGCGAGTTGGCTCATCTGGGGAGCATTAGGCTGGTCGTGTGCTTACCTGAGGCCAGGAGGGAGGATTGGGGGTATGGACAAGTGGACACTCATCAGAAAAGTGGGGGATATTTGTTGGGCGGAACAGAACAGAACAGAACAGCAAACAAGCAGGCCAAATGGAAAACAGCAGCAACACACCTAGGTTTATAAAGGAAACAGAACAAGGTCAGTGTCATGGGAAGCGCCCTGCTTCCAACCTAAGTTGTCTTTGTTATTGGTGTTGTTCACAGGATGGATCTGATCTTTGTCCCAAAGAGATAGCATGGACTTTACCATGGTAAAATCCTAATTCTTTCCCCACCTTCTGTCTCGAGGGCAAACAGGAGTCCCAGCACGGAGAATCCACGGCGCTGCAGTCCTCGCGCAGAATCAGTGTGGAAGGCTGCATCCGAATGTATGAACTGGTGCACAGAAAGCAGGGGAGCGTAAGTGAGCCGTGGCATGTGACAGGCCTGGTCTGAGGGAGCCACATTTCACTGCACTTCCTCAGGGTGTGGGAATGCTTCCTGTGCCACACCCACCAGGACTCAATGGGGGCAGTAGCATAATGTAGAAGGCCCATGACTATAAGCCAACACCATGAGAAGCTGAGGCAGGATTGTAAGTTCGAACCCAGCCTGGGCAACTTGGTGACAATTTTGACTGTCTCAAAATTTAAAAAGGGGATGGGCCAGGGATTTAGCTCAGTGGTTCTGGCACCTGCCTCACAAGCGCAAAGTCCTGAGTTTGATCCTCGCTACCCAAAAAAAAAAAAATTTTAAAAAGAGGTGAGGATACAGCTCAGTGTGAAGGCTCTGACTTCAGGCTCTAGTACCACCAGAAAAAAAGAAAGTAGAGGTCTAGAGTGAGCACACAAGTCAAATCTGGTTTCACGTATTGGCTTTTCTATTTTACAAGTAATTTTGAGAAAATTACTTAGGCTTTCCTGGCTTCCATTTACTTCTCCAAAAATTGGAGATGCTCCAGGATTAGCAGACAAGGTTATAGTATAAAGATGGGACCTTAGCTGGGTGTGGTGGCACAGGCCTGTAATGTCAGCACCTGGGAAGCTAAGGCAGGAGGATCACCACGAGTGAGAGGCCAGCCTGGCCTACATAGTGAGTTGCTGCCTTGAACTTGCAGCAGTCCCCCTACCTCAGCCTCCACAGCACCAGGCTCTTGTTTAGAGGGAATCTTACCGTGTTGCCCAGGCTGGCCTCAAACTTCTCGGCTCAGTGATTCTCCCTCAGCCTCTGTATTTTTTTTTTAAATAAACATTCATTCATTCATTCATGCTTTGCTGGGGGATTGAACCCATGGCCTCACCCATGCTAAGCAAATGCTCTGCCACTGAACTACACCAGACCCTCAGCCTTCCCATTATGAGGTTTTTCTTGTTATCCCCTTGTTCCTTTTTCAGAGCATCGCACTCACATTTCATGTCATACTAGAGTTCTTTTTTTAGATTCAGGTGTATTCTTTGAAATATTTTTTCCTTCCAGATTCATCATTTTCCCTTTGTTCATCTTGATCTCCTTGTACAATGTAGAGATTCCCCACATATCTAAAGATGATTGTTTACTAGTGGTCAGATCAGGGATTCAAGTAGAATAATCAGAACAGGATTATTACGCTCTGAGACTTCCTGGGGTACTGTTCTGGAAAACCAGCTCCCAGACCAGAGGACATACTCACAGCCGGCCCTCCCTCCCTCTCTCCTGTCTTCCTTCATTTTCTTTTATAGAACTCTCCATTCTTCACCTGACTGTCCCAAACCTTGTGCCTGGAAGCAGCTGGTTTCATTACCCTTCTGTATCAGGGTCCCTAGCCTCAGCCAGTAGGGTTCTGTCTGGGTTTCTTGTGGTTGTAGCAGCTGAGACTGGAGTCATCACAGTGCTTTCCCTGTCTGGCTTTGAGGTGCACTGGGACCTCTGTCTTGCCTGTGTGGCCTGGACTTCCTCAGGTCTTCGTCAGGTTTCAAGACCAAGGATCCTAATCCAGGTGTGGCGGTGCATGGCTGTCATCCCAGCATGCAGGAGACTGAAGCAGGAGGATTTAAAGTTTAAGGCCAACCTGGGCTGCATAGGGAATTCCAGGCCAACCTGGACTACAGAATGTGGTCCTGCTCAAAAAATAAAATACGGGCTGGGGATTTAGCTCAGTGGTTTCGCCGCCTGCTGCGCAAGCGCAAGGACCCGAGTTCAATCCCCGGTACCAAAAAAATTAAAATAAAATATGTGCGTACATACAGCAAGCATCCTAAGAGCCACTGGCAGAGTTGCATGTCCCTTTCAAACCTACCCTCAGAAGTCGTGTCCCAGCGTTTTATGGCCACATTCACTTCACCACGGTGGTTACAAAGGCCAGGCGACTTGAAGTGGGGAGGGGTGGGTGACAAAGAATTTGCAAGTGTTTTTAAAACATAGCACAGATGCCTTGGTCTTGGCCAGCTGGTCTGTTTTCTGGGAGTGGTGGCAAGAGTTGGCTGTTTTGTCTGCACACATTTGGCTCGTTCTTCCAGTCCAGCCCCGGGAGGCCACTGCACTGCAGCCCTGGCATTTCCACTCTCAGGCTCCCCACATGCACACAACTAGGGTAGCAGTTATGTGCACACACATGTGTATGTTTATGTCAGCGTCTGGGGTTCCTCATCTCTGCTCCGTCGTACCACTCCTTTGCCCACTTCCTGTCTTCCAGTCATGCTCAGCCGGCCTGGCCTGTGACAGCCCCTCATACGGTGTGGTGTCTTTCTCACCTGCCAGTTCCCACTGTCAGGAAGGCTCAGAGGGGAGGAGAGAAGCGGCTTGTGTTCAGTTTGCATCTTACACTGGAAGCTTAAAATGAGTTTCAAAACAGAATGACGTCATGCTTTGTCTTCTCCTCTTTTTACTATGGTGCTGGGCGGCCCCCATCCCTCGTGTGTGCTGGGCACGTGCTCGAGACTGAGCCGCCCCTGTTGTCTCCACACTGCCGTACAGCAGCGTCCAGCAGTGTCTCACCCTCCTGAGCCCAGCTCGGAGTGTCCCACACTATGGCTTCATGGGATTGATTCCCTCATCCCCAGTTCTTCCCCTTGTTTAACTGCACTGCCACCGGCCACGGGGCTGCAGGGAGCATCTGTGTCTGTAGATCTTTGCGTACATGTGGGGTTTTTCCTCGGTATAAATTCCTAAAATGGAAAAAAAAAAATTCCTAAAATGGAACTAGTGCCCAAGGGTAAGTACACTGTAAATTTTAACAAATACCAAATTGCCCTTAAACCGTATGAAAGTGCTCTTGTGGGTGAGAAATGCAGTGCCGGCTGCCCTTCGGTGTTTTCCGTAGGTGTAAGGAAAGGGACACTGCTCAGCAGAGGTCGGGGAGCAGCTGTTCTAGGCAGAGATAAAACCATGAGGAAGGGAGTGAGGTAGCAATGAACATAGCATGTTTGCAGAATTAAAATAGAATAAGAGTTTCTGTAGCTGCTCATGCAGCCCTCATGAGAATACATAGGAGAGAGCTGGGTGCAGTGGCACATGTCTGTAATCCCAGGTGCCCCAGAGGCTGAGCCAGGAAGATGGCAAGTTGTGTACCAGCTGAATCAATTAGGAGAGACCTTGTTTCAGAAGGGGCTGAGGTATAGTTCAGTGTCCTTGGGCTCAATCTCCAGTAACACACACAAAGGATACACAGGGTGGAAGCTTAAAAGTGCATGGTTGTTCTGAGTTTGATCCCTGGTACCAAAAAAAAAAGTGCATGGTTGGCCAGGTACAGTGACACTTGTCCTAATGCCAGCGCTCTATGAGGCTGAGGCAGGAGGATCCCAAGTTCAAACCCAGCCTGGGCAACTTAGTGAGACTGTCAAAATAAAATACACAAAGAAAGGACTGAGATTGTGGCTCAGTGTTAAGATACTAGTTTCAATCCCCAGTACTGCCAGAAAAAGTAAAGGGGCTAGAAGCCAGGTGTGCCGAGGCATACCTGTAATCCCAGCTGTCAGGTCTCTGAGACAAAAGGATGGCTGTGAGTTAAAGGCCAACCTGGGGTACCTAGCAGGACTCTGTCTCAAAAAAGAAAAGGGTGTGGCTGCACTTAATCCCAAGTACTACAAAATCTAAATAGCACGTGGTGCCTGATGCAACATTTGTAAGTACCTGTCCCTTCCCAGTGCTCGCTAGAGTGATACCATATGGGGCAGACCATAAAGATGGACTCACAAGAGAGCGAGGCTCCCCGTGGTCCCCAGGAGTGGGCTTGAGTCTGGACCCTCAAGGTCTCTGCAGAGCTCAGGACTGAGGGAGGGTTGCCAAGGGCAGAGGAGCAAGGTGTGGGGACAGTACCAGAACAAGTGCCCTGCCTTTCAGGAGGGCTTGCAGCAGTGGCAGGAGGAGCAGGAACAAAAGGTTCGAGCCTTGTCAGAGATGGCGTCGGAACAGCTGAAGCGCTTCGATGAGCTGAAGATGCTGAAGCAGCACAAGGAGTTCCAAGAGCTGCAGGAGGTGGTGGAAAGGAGGTGAGTCCTAGAGGATGCTGGGAATGGTAGAAACGAGGTGAGGCCTAGAGGATGCTGGGAGTGGTAGAGGTGAGGTGAGCCCTAGAGGATGCTGGGAGTAGTAGAGGTGAGGTGAGCCTCAGGTCTTGTTGGGAAGGAAAGTGCTTCAGAGCTGGCAGGGCAGCTTCTAACTGCAGGTGGCCGGTGCAGTCCAGTGAGGACGCCCGGCGGAGGAGTCCAGGCCTAACAAGCACCCCTGCCTCTTCCTCCCTGCCATTTCCATGCAGCACCAGAGAAGCCCTGGGCCATCAGGAGAAGCTCAGGGCAGAGCATCGCCACCGAGCCAAGGTCAGTTCTGGGACATGGGGTGTGACGAGGGGTCGGGTTCACAGCCCTGCTTCTGTGACCACCCTGGGAGTCCTATTCCCAGAGCCCCAGTGACCTCTGCTGGCCCTGTGCAGATTCTCAACCTGAAGCTGCGAGAGGCAGAGCAGCAGCGCCTGCGGAAGGAGGAGCAGGAGCGACTGCGCAAGGAGGAGGGCCAGGGCCGCCTGCGAAGCCTCTACACCCTGCAGGAGGAGGTGCTGCAGCTCAACCAGCAGCTTGAAGCCTCCGCCTCGAGCGCCTCCGACCCCCATGGGGACCCGCTGCAGGTGGACCTGGCGGCCTTCCGTGCTCGCGGCAACCAACTGTGCAGCCTCATCTCCGGCCTCATCCGTGCTGCCTCGGAGGTGAGGGCCACCCAGGGACTCCTCTGTCTTCACAGTGGGGACCAGAAGTGCAGTGTGTTTTCCAGTTGAACTGCAGTGCCTGGGCTGGGGGTGCAGCTCAGGGGCAGAGCGCTCGTCTAGACTGGCTTGCCATGGGTTCCACCCCCCAGAGTAAGGCCTGCTTACTGGAGGAAGCAACAGGCATTGCTGACACCTCGCCCAGAGGCAACCTAATTTAACATTTTCTTATGGGTCTTTTTCCTGAATTTCTTACATTATATCTTAGGTTAAAAAATTTTGTTTCTAGCCAGGCATGTTTTGCGCACACCTGTATCCCAGCACTCAGGAAGCTGAGGAGAAGGATTGCTGGAGTTCGAGGCCAGCCTGGGCTACATAGTGAGACCCTTTCTCAACCAAAAGGAAAAAAAAAAAGGGCCAGGGATTTAGCTCAGTGGTTCTGCTGCCACCACCTGCTTTGCAATCGAAAGGACCCAAGAACCAAAAAAAAAAAAAAGATCTTTTTTTTGCCTATAGCTGAATTGTGTGGATGGACAATAAAATTACTATTTCCCAGGCTGGGGATTTAGCTCAGTGGTTTTGCTGCCTGCTGCGCAAGAGCAAGGACCCAAGTTCGATCCCCAGTACCAAAAAAAAAATTACTATTTCCCTTTTCTTGAAAAAATCCTTAGGTTACCAATTTGATAAATGATTCGGGTCATTTTTTTTTAACTGGATTTAATTTTGTTTTATAATTGTATATGTTTCCAAAGTTTGAACTGCACAACAAAGTATATCCAGAAGTCTAGCTTCTTTTTCTTGCTTTGCACTCTGTTCTTTGTGTTGTTTGTTTGTTTGAGACAGAGTCTCACTGTATAGCCCAGGCTGGCCTCGAACTCAATCAATCCTCCTGCCTCAGCCTCCTGAGTGTTGGGATTACAGGCTTGTGCCACTGTGCCGAATTTTCCACTCTGTTCTTGTCCCCTCTACAAAGGATAGTTTCATTTAGCTTTTGGATATTGTATCCATTGTTTAAATATGAAAGCAAAGCAGAGTATGGTAGTGAAGTCTGTAATCCAAGCACTTGGGAGGCTGAGGCAAGAAGGTCAAAAATTTGAGGCCATCTTGGTCTACATAGCATGTCTGGATTATATAGGGAGACCCTGTCCCTAAACACCAAAAAATACTCCTGAGGTAAAAGATCACTTACTGTTGTGTGCCTTGCTGTTTTGTACTGCAGTGTATCATTGCAGGAGGTACCAGTCGTTTCTTTATAACTTCCATATAAGTGCATAGTTCTCTGTTGTGGGTGTACATTAGACATCTATCCTGCGTCCATGCTTTATGACTTTTTGAGTTTCTTTTCTTTATCCTGAGGATTGAACCTAGGGGCATTCTACCACTGAGCTACTCCCCCAGCCCTTTTTGATTTTTATTTTAAGACAGGGTCTTGCTAAGTTGACCAAGTGGGACTCAAATTTGTGATCCTCCTGCTTCAGCCTTCCACAGTATTGGGATTTCAGGTGTCCACTGCCTTGCCTGGCTGGCATTTTTCAAATAACGTGACCAAAATTCAAAATGTTCTGGCAAAAGGAGTTACAAATATAATGGAATATAAAATACGTAGAAAGAAATGAATACAAAATGGATGTAGTTTACATAATGAAAATTGCAAACTCGTTTTTGATTTATAAAATGAAACTTGAGTAATTAGATTAATAATGTTTCTGAAACTTCAATAAAGTGAGGTATGAAATATGTCCAAAAATATATCGGACCATCTCCAGGTGATGACTAGTGATGGAGGACCTGCGTTACCAATATAGAAACACTTTCTAGCAGTATAGTGAAATTAATTTGCTCTTGGCAAGGAGTAGACAGCAGGATTAGGAGCTATTCCAAGCCCAGGAAGAGACACATCTTTTGTAGGTAATTAACACATAGTCGTGCATTGCTTAATGACAGGGCCGCCTTCTGAGAAATTTGTTAGGTAATTGCGTAGTTGTGCAAACATCTTACAGGGCACTCATGTAAACCTAGGTGGCCAGTGTGTCATTAGATGATAGAATCTTACTGCACCACCCTTGTCTGTGCCGCCCACCTTTGACGGAGCTGTCATTATGTGGCAGTGCCAGACTAAATATTATCACTTTATGTGTATGTGTGGAGATGTATAGTCATTTTCCTCAGTGCTGGTGATCAGACCTAGGCTTTCCCATGCTAGGCAAGTCCTGCCACTGAGCTACAACCCAGCTCATATCACTTTACATCAGTGGGAAAGGGCCAGGTCCGAGTCCCTCTGAAAACACAGCAAGAGAGTCAGAGCTGGGGGTGCAGCTCCTTGGGACAGCGCTTGCCTCATGCTCAAGGCCTTGGGGTCCATCTCTAGCATTGCAAAAACAAAAAAGAAGAGAGAAAAGTCAGACCATGTGTATGTATATGTATATATGTATATATATGTATTTTAAAATCTATTTTTAGAGCTAGGGGTGGATTTGTGTTTGATTACCAGAACCACAGAACATACAAATAAAATCAGTGGAGGAAAGATATAGGGAACTGATAGGTAAAGGTTGAATTTACACCACTTTCATCTTATCCCATATTTCTTGGATATTTAAATTTAAAACTATAAGGTATAGGCCAAGGATTTAGCTCAGTGGTTCTGCTGCCTGCCTTGCAAGTGCAAGGACCCGAGTTCGATCCCTGGTACCAACCCCCCCCCCCCAAAAAAAACCAACTATAAGGTAGAGAGCCCCTGTGTAACCATAGCAGTAAAAACAAATCATAAAGGAAATGCTATGAAAACATAAACACTGGGCCAGGGATTTAGCTCAGTGGCACTGTGCCTATCTCACAAGTGCAAGGTCCTGAATTCAATCCCCGGCACCCAAAAAAAAAAGAAAACATAAACATTGAGGATATTATGTATTAGGAAACATTTGTAACATACATAGCACAATAAAATTTAATGTCCATGAGCTGAGGGTTTAGCTCAGTGACACCGCACCTGCCTGGCAAGTGCAAGGTCCTGAGTTTGATCCCGGGCACCGAAAAAAAAAATTTTAATGTCCTTGATATAAACTTTTTGTTTGTTTGTTTTGGTACCAGCGATTGAACTCGGGACCTTGCACTTTCGAGGCAGGTGGCGAAACCACTGAGCTAAATCCCTGGCCCCCCTGATATAAACTTTTAAGAGGTGACTCTGGCCAGTGTTGCTGAGAGCATAGGAGCTCCAGCTTAGATACCTGGGCACGGTGGTAGATCTTTCAGCGGACAGGAAAGTGGCACATGTAAATGTGTTGAGTGTGGGTGCTCTGCTGGTCCAGCCGCACCAGGCCAGGAATACCTTGCTTGTGTGGGGTGTGATTGGACCCACAAGGGCACCTGGGGATTGAGTGCTGTGCCCCCCACTGTGTCCCTCCCTCTGCAGAGTGGCTACCCCACAGCAGAGAACCAGGCTGAGGCTGAACGGGCCCTGCAGGAGATGAGAGACCTGCACACCAACCTGGGCCAGGAGATCACCAGGGCCTTCAAGGACAAGAAGCAGGAGGAGGAGCAGGCCCGGGGCAAGCTCCAGGAGTCACGGGTGCAGCAGGCGCTGGGGGCCGCACCCCAGGCTCCAGGCCCCAGCCAGAGCCCGGGCAGGACACAGAGTGAAGGTCGGTGTGTTGTGGACACGGTCCTCAATTCTAGCAGATGTGTTATTCCAAGTTACTACCGCTGAGTATTTTGAGTAAATCAGTACAGATATATGTGGTGTCCACTCACTGTGTACGAGAAGCAGTAGCGTGTAGTGTGTGACAGTGGGCTCTGGAGCCCGAGCAGGGAAACCTGTTTCTACTTGCGGGAAGCATTTAACCTTTCCATGCCAGACCCTTCATCCATACAATGGAGCTGATGCTGATACCTATTTCATAATGGTACTGTGATCATGAAGGCAGCTCCCACATTCGAGGAACGAGTGCCGCCCCAGCCCCTGCACAGGCTCAGTAAACATAGCTGCTGTTGAAGTCTGTCTTCTACTACCCAGGCCTCCAGGTGAAGGTACAGGACAGTACGATGCAGTGGTACCAGCAGCTGCAGGATGCCGCCGCCCAGTGCGTGTCAGCTTTCGAGGGCCTGAGCAGCAGCAAGGACACACAGGTAGGGAAGGGAGGGTGGCAGAACAGCAGGCCTCAGGGGCCGTGGGAATGCCTAGCCCTGAGGGCATGTGCCCAGCCCTTCAGAGTGCTCTGTCTCCTCACTGTTCTCCTCTGGCAGACCAAGAAGACAAAGATGGACCTACAGAAGGCTGCCACCATCCCCGTGAGCCAGATCTCCAGTGTTGCAGGTGAGTCAGGAGGTTGGGAATGCAGCCCTTCCCATCCGGCCTCATCGCTGTAGTAGACCCAGTGCTGCCGAGCTACTGCAAGGTTCCTATGAAAACACCGTTCAGGGCAGGCACAGCGCAGTGTGGGACCCTCGCCTGGCGAGTGCCAGGCCCTGGCTTCAGTCCCCAGCACCGCAAAGAAAACACACATGTTCAAACAAATGTTGGTTGTTGCTGCCTGTGTGTGTAAACCGGGTAGACCCTGTTTTTCTCCCTTTTTTCTTCAGTGCATGGGTGATAATGTAATCACTGTGTGTTGACTTATTTTTTCGGTACTAGGGATTGAACCCAGGGCCTTTGCACAGATATATGTCCTTTTTTATTTCGAGATAGGATCTCACTAAGCTGCCAAGGCTGGGCTCAAATTTATAACCCTGCCTCAGCCTGCCGGAGTACTGGCATTACAGTCATGTACCACCATCCCTGCCCATTGACAGATTTTAATAAGATATATAGTAATAATAAATTATTTTTTAAATTTATATTTATTTATTTATTTATTTATTTATTTTTGGTACCAGGGATCGAACTCTGGTCCTTGTGCTTGCAAGGCAGGCAGTGGAACCACTGAGCTAAATCCCCGGCCCTCAAAGTTTTTTTGGTTTTTTGAGGCAGAGTCTAGCTATGTAGTTCAGGCTGGGCTTGAACTCACCATGTAGCCCGGCTGGCCTCAAACTAGCAGCAATCCTCCTGCTTCTGCCTCCCAGGCAATCCTCCTGTCCCAGCCTCCCAAGTGCTAGGATTACAGGCTTGCTCCACCACACCTGGCAGTAATAATAAATTATGTAGGATAGCTCTTAACTATAAAATTGACAGTTACTGCTACAAACATCATAAAAGGAACCTAAAATGTGTCTTTACTTTGGTCATAAACATTAGCCTTTTCAAAACCCACACTTGCCACCTTTTTTTTTTGAGACATGGTCCACTGTGTAGGCTAGGCTGGCCTCAGACTCATGTGGCAACACTCCTGCCTCATCCTCCCGAGCTCTGGGATTTACAGGCTATGCCACCACGCCTGATGCACATTGATAGGACTGGTAGCATTGATATTCTGCAGAGACTGAGATGCAGAGAGGAAGAAGGAGAGGAGAGACCTCCCTAGGGTTATTTTCATACAGCTTTATCGAGGAAGCCCCCCAAGTGCCGGCTGTGCCACCTCAGGCTAGGGAAGTGGGCACCACTGGGAACCTGCTGTCACTTACCATGGCCCAGCACCCCATTAACCTGTCACCTGAGAGGCACAGGAATTCCCAGGTCAGGTCCTTGAGAGGCTGAGGTTACATGTCGTCTTGTTAGAAATTCTTTGTGGAACAGGGCACGGTATAAGTGGTTAAACCTACGGCTGGGTGGGATTTACGGTGCCCTTTGTTGTGATAGCAGCAAGGGAGAGAGGCGGCCCGCAGGGCCACACTGCGTTTCTGCTGCTTTCCTGCCCCTCTCCTGTCCTTTCCCTCAGTCACCAAGAACTGAAAACACAGGTCACCTGGGAGTCCTGCTCCTCCACCCCTGCTCTGCTCTGCTCTGGTCACCTTATCTCCTGATTCAGAGCCGAAGTGGCCTTCTTGCCCCAGTTTACCCTTTACCCTGCCCTGCTCCCTCTCCTCGAGGCCTCCTGGTCACTCCGCCCTTCCTCTCCCACTGATGCAGTTGCTCCCTTCCCAGGCTGTGCTGCCCCCAGCCTTGAAATGTGCGGCCATTGCTCACATCCTAATGAATCTCCTGCTCTCGTTTTCTTTTTTCTTTTTTTGGTACCGCAGATCGAACTTGGGTTCTTGTGCTTGCACAGCAGGCGGCGGAACCACTGAGCTAAATCCACAGCCCAGCTCCTGGTTTCTCATCTTTCTCACTTTTCTGTTTGACACTGTTGACCTCCCTCTTCTGTATAGGACTTCTGCAGCCAGATACAAGTGTGGTGCTGGTGGCAAACGTCTGTAGTCCCAGCATTGTGGGAGGCTGAGGCAGGGAGATCACAAGTTTGAGCCCAGCCTGGGCCACTTAGTGACCTAGCAAGACCCTGTCTCAAAATTAAAAAATGTTTTTCTAAAGGCTGGGGGTGAAGCTCAGTGAGAAGGTCCTGGGTTCAGTCGCTAGCACCACAAAAACAAACAGCCTTCACTCATGTGACTTCCCAGCAGCAGCATTTCCAGATTATGCCCCTGCCATTTGTCCATCTGCCCCTTCCCCCGGTCCTTCGCTCGCCCACCTTTGCCTTAGATGGAAGTGTTTCCGAGGGAGCTGCCCTCACCTTTGTTTTTTTCCTCTTGCTGGCCTCACACCTCACCTAGGTGCCAAGGATCCCTCTTCTCCCTGGGTCACCCCTTTCCTCTGGTCCAGTCACCTGAGGGACATCTCTGCCCAGGTGTCTCTCAGTGACCTTGCCTTAGTGTGTGCAGAGCTGAACCTGTCATCTTCTCTCAGTGCCTCGCTTTCTTCCTGTTTCCTGAAGTAATCAGTAGCCTCATCCCCTTAGCTGGACCCCAGGAATCGCTGCACAGCTGCTTCCTGTTTTGTTCCCCGAGTCCGGTTAGTCTTGCTGGGCCTTTTGTTTGTTCATGTGATCATATATTCCTAGGCTCTGCCCCTGTGTTGCCATCATTGCTGCAAGCCTGTTGAGAGCTCACAGGCCAGCCAGACACAGGTTATGCTCCGGAGTTAGTCCTCAGGCAGGGAGAGTGAGTGAGGGAGAGAGAGGAAGGACCTCATTCCTGTCTTTTAAAGAAAGCCTGAGTGGGCGTGGTGGGGAAGCCTGTAATCCTGCCACTGGAGAGGCTGTGGGAGGACCACAGGGTCCAGGCCAGCCCCGGCAGCATAATCAGGGAGGGGCACTGGAGGTGTGGCTCACAGGCAGAGCACCCCTGGGTTTGATTCCCAGTACCAGAAGAGAAGAAAGGGGGTGGGGAGAACGGGAAAGAGAGGTGGGAGGTAGGGAGAGAGAGCAGAAGGGAGAGAGATAAGGCCAAGAGCAGTTAGCTTTGGAGACAATTTTATTTTTTTAATTCAATTTTGGGGGTGCTGGGGATGGAACCCAGCACCATGTGCATGCTAGGCAAGTGCTGTACCACTGAGCTGCCTTCTTAGCCCTCGGAGGAAGGGAAAGTGTAAATGAAGACGTGAGCTGGTGGATGAGGGAGGCCATGGAAGGCTCCAGGGTGGGAGGATGGAGATTGGAACCAGATTGGGAATTCTGCCCTGGGGTCCTTGGAAGTCAGCAGTAACAGTGGAATACATCAGGAGTGTGAGCTGGAGGAATTTATATGGAAATATCCATATTTTATCATCTAGTAAGGCTTGGGTCTCTGTTAGGGTTTTCTGGGATTATTCATTTTAGAGTTTTTGTGGTGTCATTATTTGATGCTTGGTTTCCTCTTGAAATTAATTCAGATATGCTTGAGAAAAAGAGCAGCTCCCTTTCAACTTCTCCCTGCTTGTCCAGAGTAACTGTCATCTCTTTTTCTCCTTTCTCATCTTCAAATAAAGTGTCATGTTTTACTGTAAAAGAAAAAAAAGGGTTATGTCCCCAAGAGGAAGAGTCATTTCCTAGAACCCAGTGACCCCAGTGTGGGGTAGGTCTCAGGAGGCGGAGCCTGCAGTTCTCTGCCTTCCTTGTCTCCTCTTCAGCTGTGCATCTCCACCCTCAGATTCCATACCGCTGGTCTGTGGTGCACACTGCAGGTGCTGGGCCCCACTGCAGCCCCTGAGTGTGTGTGACAGGGACACCAAAGCTGCCTGTGTGAGAGGCTGGAGGAAGGCAGACTGCAGAAAAGGGGAGAATCTTCTTCCCCGGGAAGGTCCTTCGGGTTCCAGACATGCGACTGACTCTTCTAGGGATATCTCCACCAGCCGTGCATCTGGGACACGATTTCGCATCATCTCTTCTCTGTCTCTTCATATATGTTGGTTTCAGAATTATTTCATTCCCAAGTCAGGGAAGGAAGAGAACCATGACCTGTGCACTCTCACACCCCGCACAGTGTGGGTTTGACTGTCATTCATTCCTCTGCACCTGGGTTTTGGCATCAGGCTTTACAGTGCTGTGCAGCTGCTGGGCTTGGTTCTGAGATGCTGTTGCGATTACATGATGGGGAGGAGGTTGGCACGCAGTTGGATCTGCTCATTGTCTCTGTCTCTGTCTCTGTCCCTGTCTCCCGCTCCCAGGCTCGAAGCTGAAGGAGGTCTTTGACAAGATCCACAGCTTGCTGTCAGGAAAGCCGGTCCAGTCCATTGGGCACTTCGTGTCCATCACACAGAGCCCACAGGGGCTGGACTTCGTGCAGTACAAGCTGGCCGAGAAATTTGTGGTGAGGAACCTTGTTGGCAGAGGTATGGGCAGAAGCGGCTGGTGCACAGCATGAACCCCTTCTGGTGTTGATGCAAAGGTGAACCCGTCTCTGTTCCCAGAAACAAGGCGAGGAGGAGGTGGCCTCCCACCACGAAGCGGCTTTTCCCATCGCGGTCGTGGCCTCTGGGATCTGGGAGTTGCACCCCAGAGTTGGGGACCTCATCCTTGCCCACCTACACAAGAAGTGTCCTTACTCTGTTCCTTTCTACCCAGCGTTCAGGGAGGGCATGGCTCTGGAAGACTACCAGCGGTGAGGTTGTTTTTCTCCTTGCTCTCCCTAGGGTGACCAGTGCAGTATAAATAGAATTGGAATTTGTTTCCCTCTTTCTCAAGCTCCTCTGCTTTACCTGGAATATTTAGTCAAAAAATACAGTGTAGGGCTGGGGATTGAGCTCAGTGGTTCCACTGCCTGCCTCGAAAGCGCAAGGTCCTGAGTTTGATCCCCAGTACCAAAAAAAAAAACTCTTTGCGCAGGGGCTTTAGCTCAGTGGTTCCCGCACCTGCCATGCAAGCGCAAGGTCCCTGGTACCGAAAAAAAAAAAATACAGTGTATTTCATGCAAGTGGACAGCTTTGGGATTTGTGGATTTAGGCACAGTAACCCATATACTTTACTTTGCTGAATCTAGAATTCAGGGATCTTAGAACTGATCCCTTTTTTTTTCTTTTAATAGCTTTGCAAAATTGGGTAGGTAATCTAAGCTCTTCGAGCATCAGTTTCCTCATTTGTAAATGGGGTAATGATATCCGTTACCTCCTGAGTTTACCTGTGAGTTTACCTTGCAGGGCTTCTGTGAAGCAAATCAGTAATGGACAGGAGCACTTTGTAAGCGAGGCAGTCCACAGTTGGAATAGTACATAACAGCATAAAGTATAACATCATTACTCTGACCCATTTTTCGATCTTTGGTTGGATTTGTCATCCTCATGGTGGCATCGTCTTAGTGATTATTTTGTTCCTCCACAGAATGCTTGGCTACCAAGTGAAGGACTCCAAGGTGGAACAGCAGGACAACTTTCTGAAGCGCATGTCTGGGATGATCCGTCTCTATGCTGCCATCATCCAGCTCCGGTGGCCATATGGGAACCAGCAAGCCGTAGGTTCAAAAGGCTCACTGTGACTATAAGAGCTTGGCCTGAGAATGTGTTAGTGTGTCCTGCCTTCAATGTTAGTCAGCTTTCTGTTACTGTGACAAAATACCCAGGGTAAACAGTTTGTGAGGGCAAAGGTTTATTTGGGTTCATGGTTTCAGAAATCTCTGTCCGTGGTTACTTGGCCTCATTGCTTTGAGGCTTACAGTAAGCCAACACTTTACGGCAGGTGTGTAGATGGAATAAAGCTGCTCACCTCAAGGCAGCTGGGAAATGAAAGGTAGAGATGACCTGGCGTGATGGCGCACACCTGTGAGCCCAGCACTCTGGGAGGCTGAGGCATGATGATCACAAGTGTGAGCCCAACCTGGGCAACTTAGCGACCTGGTGATATCTTGTTTCAACAAGATAAAAAGGGCTGGGGCTGTGACTCCATGTGAAGGCCCTGAGTTTAGTCCTCGTACCACAGAAAGGTAGGAGATGCTGAGGTGAGGTTCCAGTATCCCCTTTGAGGCACAGCCCTGTCACCTAACTTCATCCAACCAGGTTCTGCCACCTCAGTAGTGCCCGGGCTGGCTACCGAGTCTTTCACACTCGGGCCTCTGAGGGAACACGTACAGACTTGACGTCCTTCCTCAGACACTCAGGTCAGTGGAACGATAAAGGAGAGCGTGGTAGCTTCATCCGTGTCTTTTAGAAAAGAGGACATGGATTGTTGGGAGGTTTTTTGGATCAACAAAGCCATTTGTTCAATGGCTGACTCATCTGGGGCCTCAAAGAACTGGTTTTATAACAGTCTACCAGAGGAAAGGCTATTATTTGTCAGTAATTAGGCTTACAAGGATTTATTTACTTATTTATCTGTGCAGTGCTGGGGATGGAACCCAGTGCCTTGCATATGCTAAGCAAGTGCTCCGCCACTGAGGTACATCCCAGCACTGAGACTCCCTCCCTGTCCCCCTCCTTTCTTCCTTCCTGAACCCAGCGCCTCACACTGAGCAAGGCTCACAGCCACTTACTTGTTTTTTAATAGAGAAATGAACAAGAAATTTTCACCTTAGACATGGTTGCAACCTTGGAAGCCATCTAGGCCCCTACCTTCCTCACTGATTGGCATTTGGAGACTCAGAAAGTTAGAGGGACAGAACCCTGACCGAGGTTCGGGGCTTTGACATGCCAGCCCAGGCCTTTCTGCAGGAACACAGGTTAGAGAGAGGGGAATTTAGGGACTGGAGACCTAAGGGAAAAATAGAAGTTGATTGAATTCAAGAAGTTTTTAGTGTGTGCCTGCTGTACCCAGGTTGTGTTGTAAAGGTACCAAGAATAACAAAATGTCAGTGAGAGCCAGGCATGGTGTTGCACACCCATAATCCCAGCTACTTGGAGACTAAGACAGGAGGATCACAGGTTCAAGGGCAGCCTGGGCAACTCAGCAGGGCTGTGTCTCTGAAAAAAGTCATTAAGAATAAGTGTTGTCCTATGGAGTCTCTGAAACTGATGCTAACGTGTGTATCAAAGGGATCCTGTAAAGAACATGTGTGAACCAGGCACAGTGGTGAACACCTGTAACCCCAGTCACTTGAGAGGCTGAGGCAGGAGGATCACAAGCTCAAATCTATCATGGGAACTCAGGGAGATCCCATCTGAAAATAATTAAAAGAAGGGCTGGGGACCGAGCTCACTGGTAGACTGCTTGCCCAGTATGGCCCTAAGTTCAGTCCCCAGTGCATACTGATGGGACATCCAAGGACATCCACCATTCAAGTGTATTCACCTGTGTCATTTCGGCCCTGCGGTGTGTGCTTGGGCTGGCTGGTCGTGAGGTTTGTGTCTGACAGGAGTGTAGATGTCTAATAAAGTGAAGTTACCACCAGGCTTCTTTTCCCCCAGACTCACCCTCATGGCCTGAGTCACGGCTGGCGCTGGTTGGCACAGGTCGTGAACATGGAGCCTCTGTCCGATGTGACAGCCACCATCCTTTTTGACTTCTTGGAGGTATGTAATTCAGTCTTCACACAAGGGACGGTGGTTGAGGTGACCTTAGGACCCTGAGTGACACGAGTGGGGGAATAGTATAGAAAATGGACCCCAGGTGGGTGTGGTGGCACACACCTGTAGTCCCAGCACTCAGGAGGATGAGGCAGAAGGATCACTGAGTTTGAGACCAGCCTGGACTACATAGTGAGACCCTGTCTCAAAAAAGAAATGTAGCCTAGTGGTGAACAGTATTAGGCTAGTATCACAGGTTTTTCTGAGCTATAAGAAAAACCTAGCTTCCTACAATGTACCAATAAAAGAATTTAATTAAAAGAAAAAAAGAAAAACCTAGCTTTCACTTTTTCTAACTACCATACTTGCCTTCTCTGGGTAGATGCTTTTTTTTATTATAAAGAAAATGTGTATGTACATCCTAGAAGAAGTGGAAGAACAGTCATTGTAGGGATAGAGAAGGACTCCCAGAACCAAGGATGACATGTGCTGCAGTCTCCAGGACCTGGCAGCCCCCTGGCACCCAGACAACCTCTGCGGGTCATGTGTTCTTTTGTGCTCTTCCTGCACACTGCCTTGGCTTTGCTCTGGACACCACCTCTCCATTTTCCTGTGCATAGTAAGAGAAATGGACATCCCGGACTGTCACTCGGCCTCAGTGTGGTGACACCAGTGTCCTCTTCTCCTGGGTCCTCATTCTCAGGAGAGCCACCTTGTGTCAGCTTCTGTCCCGTGGAGAAAGCGCTGGACAGTTCTGGCTACAGCTAAGGGAGCTCGCAGTGGGGTGAGGCAAGGCTTTCTACAGAAAGGACACACTCCTTAAGGAAGGCGTGGCCAAATGCCAGGACCAGCCTGGGACCTTGTGGCTGAAGATGCCAGCAGTTCTCAGTCATGTTTTAGCTCCCGGAGTTAGCTGCATGAACAGGAGCTGAGTGTGAGAACACAGGCATGTGCTGGATTCTTTTCTTCTTAAGCCTGGGGGTGCCAGACCATTCAGAAGGGTTCCATTCAGTCCAGGAAAAATCATTCCTTAGGACCTGACAGTCTGATTAAGTGGAGGCGTTGCTGTGCACAAAGAAGTACATTCTGGAGCATTTCCAGTAGAGAAAAAAGTTGGGTTTTGCCATTCATTTCCTTGTCAGGTAGTTCATTGCATTCTGAAAGGCAGAGGGCTGAGTGCACAGTAGAGGTATCCCGTGTCTGCTTACAGCACCTGTCTGTCCCTCCAGGTGTGTGGCCATGCCCTCGTGAAGCAGTATCAGGTCCAGTTCTGGAAGATGGTACTTCTCATCAAAGAGGAATACTTGCTCAGGTACTAGGCTCGTGCAGCGGGTGTGAGGATTTGGTCACACTCATGAGCTAGGTGTCATGTCCCCCTGAGTGCTATTTATTCCCTGCTAGTTTTGACTCATATAAAAATGTATTAAGGCCAGGGTAGAGCACTCCATCTAGCATGTCCAAGGCCATGTGTTCAATCCAAAAAGAGAAAAGCCTGTGTTAAGTATGACATCTTCCTATTCCCAACCTGTCCTGTCCTTCTATTTGATTTGAACAAATGCATTTAAACTCTGATGAGAGTCTCTCTCTTCAATCTTGTTGGCTAAACCAAGCACAAAGCAGGTCTTAGATCAGGTACCTGGAATTTTTAAAATGTTTTTTTCTGGGCTGGGGATTTAGCTCAGTGGTTTCCCAGAGTTCGATCACCAGTACCAAAATAAATAAATAAAATAAAATGTTCTTTTCCAAACTGCCCCAGATAATCTGGGATGGTGATTACATTCGGTCGCAGAGGCAAGCGCCCTCATTCCGCAGTAGAAGAATCTAATTTATCCACTGTCTTAACTTTTCTCTTGTTGCTGAGACAAAATAGCCAACACCCAAAGTTAAAGGAGGAAAGGTTTATTTAGCTCAGAGTCTGTAGAGGTTTCAGTCCATAGTCACTGGCTCTAAGGCAGGTGGCACAGCAGCCCGGCATCACAGAGGAGAAACAGTTCATGGCTGGTAGAAGGCAGCAAAACAAGCAGCAAGCAAGGGACAGGATGAGCCTCTTTCTGTCCCTTATATTGTATCAGGCTACCAGGATTAGGGCGGTGCCAAACCAATCAGCGGAGTGATTTCGTGATTACACACCCTTAACCCTAGCATTGCACCCATGAATCAATCACACATTCTAGATTCAGCCACCTCTGAAAAAGCCCCAGCTATGACTGCCTGAGGTGACACAAGACATGACACACAGCAGTTTGCATAACTGGTGTGGAGCCACATCTCAATACCCCTCCCTTCTCTCAGCTCAGCTAGGGGTGGCTGTGGCAAGGCCCATCCCACCTGATCACAGAGAGCTCGGGAACAGTGCTCTCTTGTCCTTTGTCCTTTGTTGGGGCCACGTGGAGAGTAGAGTGTCCATAGGTAGGAGACAGTGCTCCAGTCCCTAGCTCTGCCCTTCGGCCCAGAGCAGCAGGTCCTTGACATCTCTCTGGAAGAGGTGGGCCCCATGGGTAGGATTCACAGGTCTCGGTTCTCTCTGCATAGAATTGAAGCCATCACGAGCTCAGGACAGATGGGTTCCTTCATACGCCTCAAGCAGTTCCTGGAGGTAAGCTGCCCTCGGCCCTCGTGTCCCAGCTCTGGCCTGGAGTGCTGTATCCATGCTGAGAAGTCTGGGCCTCCAGACACGGCTCACAGTCTCCCCCTGAGTTTCCCAAACCCAGATCTTGGTTTCTAATTTCCCTTTTGGAGTAAGGGCTGACGTTTCATCTTCCTGTGTATCATTCTCCATACCCCTATGAGGCAGCTGTCCTTAAAGATGAGTAAAATAGCTGGGGATTTAGCTCAGTGGTTCTGCCACCTGCCTCGCAAGCGCAAGGTCCTGAGTTTGATCCCCACTACCAAAAAAAAAAAAAGATGAGTAAGATATAATTAATAACTTCTCTCACTGGTACATTTTTTTTTGTTTTTTGGGGGGTTTTTTGGGTACCGAGGATCGAACTCGGGACCTTGTGCTTGTGAGGCAGGCTCCGGAACCACTGAGCTAAATCCCCAGCCCACCAGCACATTTTTTTTTTTTTTTGGTACTGGGGATTGAACTGCTTACACAGCAGATGGCGAAACCACTAAGCTAAATCCCCAGCCCCTAACACCAGCACATTTTTTTGCATGTTAGCCAAGGTTCTTTTCTCAGTCTTGGGCCCAGGGGCATTTAAGTGTGTTTACTTTTCTCCATGAGAATAGACTGCACCACACTAAGCTGCATTCTTTGTGGGGTTTTGTTGCTTTTGGATTTGGATTTTTTGGGGGGGGGGGGGTACCAGGAATTGAATTCGGGTCCTTGTGCTTGCAAGCCAAGCGGCAGAACCACTGAGCTAAATCCCTGGCCCTTGTTTTGGGTTTTGAGACAAGGTCTTGCCAATTGCCAAAGCTGGACCTGAACTTGGGATCCTCCTGCCTCAGTCTCTGAGGGTACTAGGGATTACAGGTGTGTGGCACTGTACCTAGCTACCAAGAAATTTTGTTTTGTTTTTTGTTTTTGGTCGTACTGGGGATTGAAACCCAGAACCTTTGCACTGAGCTACATTTTTTTTTTTTTTTTTTTTTTGAGACAAGGTCTTGCTAAATTGCCCAGGCTGGGCGAAAACTTGTACCTCTCCTGTCTCAACTTCCCAGAGTGCTGGAGTTACAGGCATGTGCCACTATGCCTGGCTTACTAAGAAAATTTAAGGGGTTCGTTTTTAATTCCACAGTAGATCTACCAAGATAGCCAGCCCTCCAACCTTCAGTGTGGTGTTAGTGACAGATGAGGCCAGACTATGATGAGACATAAAAATAGCACCATTGTCACTTCCTGGCCCTTTCCTTTATTGTGTGTGTTTTTGGTTTTTGGTTTTTTGAGACATGGTCTCACTTTGTAGTTCAGGCTGGCCCTGAACTCACTATGTAGCCCAGGCTGGCCTCAAACTCTTGGCCATCCTCGTGCCTCAGCCTCCTAAGTGCTGGGATTCCAGGGTGCGCCACCACACCCAGCATCCCTTTCCTTTTTTTGTCCACTGTTCTGTAGGACTTAACCTTGCCATCCCTCAGTGTTCTCTCAGCTCTGAGTGTTGGAAGCAATATGGTCAGAAACTCATTCTGGTTTGGTTTTGTGTTTCATCTTTCCCTGCCCAGAAATGTTTGCAACACAAGGAGATTCCTGTTCCCAAGGGCTTTCTGACTTCTTCCTTCTGGCGCTCCTGATGTCCTTTTGTCACCTGCCATCACCATTGTGTTGCGGAGAAGTAATAATAAAGCGACCGAAGGCAGCTGTATTTGGAAGAAGTCAGGCTTAGAAATTTGTTGGTGTGTGCTGTATACATTCATACCATGTGGCTAGGTGAGACTTTAACAGGAGCAGTCCCTTAGCAGATTGGGGAGCTCCTTACAGCATCTGCATGACAGAGTGAATGAAATTGCCTTTCTTATTTTACAAAAATCATGAGTGGAGGCCTTCACCACTGTGTCTCTTCCTTTGCCTCCATTGCCTCTGGATCTGTAGGGAGCTGTGATGTCCTAACCGTTTCACTCTGCACTGGACTGAGCTACCTCTTTACCCGGCCCCCCACGCCACCCCGTTCCCATGGAGTCTCCATTAAAGGCTGACCTGTGAGGCTGGGTGATGGTGGTTGGCCTTTCTCAGGTGAGGGAGGGGTTCTAGATGCAGAGCAAATGTGTGCGGTGGGCAGGGGCTCAGTCCCAGAGTGCACCAGGGGGAGCTGGGTATCCGGGTTGAGGACCGGAAGCAGGTCACATCGGGCCACACAGGATTTTCCGTCCCCTTAATTTGGAATCTGCTTCCTGCTGTGCTGGGGATGCATGCACCAGAGTAGGTGCATAGCTTTTTTGGTTCTGGTTTGTATTAAGATGTACTCTAGGCCAGCGTAGTGGTGCACACCTGTGATCCCAACACTCAGAAGCCTGAAGAGGACTGAGCAAGTGTGAAGCTGGGCTGGGCTACAGAGTGAGTTTAAGTCCAGCTTAGACTCCACAGTGAGACCCTGTCTCAAAAACAAAAACTGGAAGGGGCTGAGGATTTAGTTCAGTGGTTCTGGCGTCTGCCTCGCAAGTGCAAGGTCCCAAGTTCGATCCCTGGTACCAAAAAGCAAAAGAAACAAAAAAAAACTGGAAAAGATGGACTGAGATGGGGCTGTAAGCATGCCCAAGCTGAGCGAACATCCCTGTCAGAGCAGGGGTCAGGGTTGAGTGAAGGTGTTTGGGAGGAGCTCGGAGCTGCTGTGTAACCCTCTGTTGTGTTTTGAGTAATGAATGATGACTGGTTTGCCTGCCTGAAGCCACTGCAGAAGTCCCGAGCGTGGCTGTTGACATGGAGGTTTAGGTTTATCATGTGAAAAACTCACTCTGACACTGCAGAGCCAGTGGACGCTACACGCCTCGTGGCGCAGTGTCGCAAATACTCTGGAGTGGCTCAATGTGACCTCTTCTGTGAACTGTTGACTATGGTGCCAAAATAAGTAATAAAGCTTGATTTTTAAAAGAATAGTAAACCCCTTGCTGATGTACAGTTTGTTCGGTAGGATTAACTAACTTTCTGTCCCTTCAGTTGTGCAGTCACTAGGGTCCTGGTAGGTAGTTCACAAGTCCAGATACAGAGCGATATGTGTTTCTTCCTTTTTTGTCCTCTTGACCTTCACCTTAAGAAAATTAGCTTATGGGGCCGGGGATTTAGCTCAGTGGTTTAGCCGCCTACTGCACAAGCGCAAGGACCGGAGTTCAATCCCCGGTACCAAAAGAAAAAATTAGCTTATTTTCTGTCATTCCTGTTTTGGAATTATGTACCAATAGCTGACTATATTTTCGTTTGTTTTGAGAGCATCTTGCTTTGTGGCCTTGAACTCACTATGTAGCTCAAGCTGGCCTTGAACTTGCAGTGACCCTCCTGCCTCAGCCTCCTAAGTGTTTACAGGCGTGTACTGCCATGGTTGGCAGCTGACTCCTATCTAGCAAGAGATATGAGGGGCTCAGGATGCAGCTCGTATTAGAGCACCTGCCTGACACGTGTGAGGCCCTGGGTTCCATCCCCAACATCCCTTCCACCCCAAAAAGGAAAGAGATGTGAAAGTATTATCTGTCAGTGTAGACCCAGGCAGTGAGCACGAGATAGGGGTCAGGACACCTGGGCTTCATTCTCATCTCTGAACCTCAGTGTTCCCACGTGCAAAACAGGAAATGCTGGGCATGGTGGCACACGCCTGTAATCCTGCACTCAGGAGGCTGAGGCAGGAGGATTGCTGTGAGTTCGAAGCCAGCCTGAACTACAAAGTGAGACCCTGTCTCAATAAACAAAGGAAGGGGCTGGGGATTTAGCTCAGTGGTGCCATCGCCTGCCTTGCAAGTGCAAGGTCCTGAGTTCGATCCCCGGTACCAAACAAAAAAGTAAATGAATGGGACTTGTCACAGGAGCTTTGAGGTTATGCTTGGTAGCAGCAGCTCCGGGGCTGTTTCCCAGCTAGTGTGTTCTGCAGTCTGACCTCCTCAGCCTGCGGGGCTGCGGGACAGGGCCCTCAGTGGATTCGAGGTTCCCTGCCCGTTACCACTTGGCAAGAAGCAGGCTGGGCAGCGCTGAGTGCAGGATGGTGGGGGAGGGGCATTGGGAGGGTGGGGCTGAGCCCTTAGCAGATAGAGGAGGCTCGGAGCTGGCTTCTAGAAAGCATCCCTTCCAGATACCACTACCCTCTGCTGGGAATTAGCCCGTTCATCACTGAAAATGACTGGCCGGTGAACAGTGCCCATCAGAACTGCACAGCCACATTTTGCACAGCTGTTAAGTGGGCCCCGCTGGAGCTGTGGGGTCCCCTGGCACAGCATCTTTGCTCTGTGCTTTCTTTATGGGGCTTCATGTAAGACTAGACAGAGATCACTCTGTCAAAACCGAAATGTGAGCCAAGCCTGTCAGTGCACACCTATGATCCCAGCACTCTAGGAGGCCGAGGCAGGAGGATAACAAATTTGAGCCCAGCCTGGGCAACTTAGCAATTTAGTGGGACCCTCTCTCAAAAAATAATAGTTGGGGGCCAGGGATTTGCCTCAGTGGTGCCGCTGTCTCCCTCAGAAGCACAAGGTCCCAAGTTCGATCCCTGGTACCAAAGGAAAAAAAAAAGTTGGGGATGTATGGGCTGGGGATTTAGCTCAGTGGTTCCACTGCCTGCCTTGCAAGCGCAAAGTCCTGAGTTTGATCCCCGGTACCAAAAATAGGAGTTGGGGATGTAGCTCAGTGCAAGGGCCCTGGGTCCAATCCTCAGGAGGACAAAAGAGACATGGTCTTCCCTTTGCCATTTGATGCTGGTATTCCTGATGGATTCTCAGGTAAACCAAGAGAGGAGCACATGGGAGGCCAGGGTTCTGATATCCCTGATAGCGTCTCCTCTGAGACCTCGATGGCGGCAGCCACAGGAGCAGCAGGAGCATCAGGAGCATCAGGAGCATCAGATTCCTCACCGTAGATGCCCTGGGCTGCATTGGCCTCCAACTCATGGGCTCATCTTGTTTCCCTCTGCCTTGGCCTCGCTTCTCAGGCCCAGTGCTGTGCTTCTGTCATACCAGTGTCTTGTGTCACCTTAGAGCAAATCCAAGGAGGCATGAAAACTGAGAGGGTGGAAACTGCAGGTCCGTCGTGTAGAAGAGCATTGCTGCTCTGGGGTGCTCCTGGGTGCTGCAGCTTCCCTGCTTCAGGATTCCTGTGATGACAGTGACAAAGTCAAGGTCTAGAACCACAACCTGAAAGGACACTGGTGACAAAGGTTGTCCTGAATCCATTAATTTGTAGCCAGATAAAGTTGATGTGAAGCGCATTTTGCAAAATACTTCCTCCTTACATGGAGTAAGTGATTGGGGCAAAAATGTAATTCACTGGAGAATGTGACTGAGTTCTTGGAGTGCTTTCTTGATGACTTGAGCTTCAAGTTATAGAAACCCGAAAGAGATTTATTTCATCCAGGACAGAGTTTCCTGGTGTTTTTGTGCAAGGACCTAAAAAAGAGTTTGGGAGCCAGATAAGTTTGGGAAATATGTTAAAGGTAAACCAGTCAGGCGTGTTGGCTTGTGTCTGTAATCCCAGCAGTCTGGGAGGCCGAAGCAGGAGGATCTCAAGTTTGAGCCCAGACTGGGCACATTAGCTAGACCTGTCTCAAAAGTAAAAAATAGTCTCTGGATGTAGCTCAGTGCAAAAGCCCTGGGTTCAAGCTGTGCAGAGTGAGTACTAATCCTAGTATTCAGAAGGCTGAGGCAGGAGGATTGCTGTGAGTACAAGGCCAGCCTGAACTACATAGTGAGACTCCATCTCAAGGAGAGAAAAAGCCCTGGGTTTAGCCCCCAACATGAAGAGAGAGACAGAGGGAAGAAAGAATAAAAAGTTGAACTAGCACAAGTGCAAGGTCCTGAGTTCGATCCCCGGTACCAAAAAAAAAAAAGTTTTAACTAGGAGGAAGCAGGCCAGCCTGGACTATATAGTGAGACCCTGTCTCATATAAGTACATAAGGGCTGGAAATATAGGTCAGTGGCAAAGCACTTGCCTAGCACGTACTTGGCCCTGGGTTCAATCCCCAGTATGAAACATACACAAAAAGTCTTAAACCAGCTGGGAGTCAGGCCTTGCACCTGTAATTGCAGTACTCAGGAGGCTGAGACAGGAAGATCACAAGTTTAAGGACACCCTGGCCAACATAGTGAGGCTGTGTCAAAAACCAAAAAAGGCCAATGGGGTTGGAGGGGTGGGCAGGTACAGCACCAGCACTCCTTCCCCAGAGGAAAGTAAAGCAGGTAAAGCAGGGGAGAGATCAGGATCAGTAATTGTTGAAGCTGGCAATGGGCACACGGAAACAACCAGTGGGGTTTGCAGAGACGGTAGCAGGAGACTGACTGGAGGGTCAGCCATGCGTTTACCACCTGCTGACCCACAGGCAAGGCTGCGTTCCACTTGGATTCCGAAGCCCAGGTAACCAGACAGCTGATGGCTCCCCGGACTGGAGAAAGATGGGGATTCCAGCCCCAGCCAGCAGGCAGCAAGCAGCAGGGGAGCAGTTCCTCCTTCTGGCTTTTTGTTCCTTATCAGATTGGTGACACCCACTCCCATGAGGGGGCGCAGTTTACTGAATCCACAGATTTAAATGCTAACCTCATCCAGAAACATCTTCATAGACATCCAGAAAGAATGTGCAATTGGGGCACCCCGAGCCCCAGTCAAATTGACACTTAAAATTAACCATCACTGGGTGTGGTGGTGCACGCCTTTAATGCCAGCACCCAGGAGGCTGAGGCAGGAGGATCACTGCTTGTTCAATGCCAGCCTGGGCTACACAGTGAGTTCAACACCAGCCTAAACTATATAGCAAGACCCTATCTCAAAAATAAATAAAACGTAACTGATGGTTAATTCATTACATTGTCTTATTTACTATATCTTTGAAATCTTCCATAATCAATTTAGGGATGGGGTAGGGGTATAGCTCAGTGGTAGAGTACTTGTCTGGCATGTGTGAGGCCCTGGGTTTGATTCCAGCACAAGACAAAACAAAACAAAAAAACTTAGAGATTAAAGAAAAATTTTTTCTAGCAATACTTTTTGGTGCCTTAACCATGCACACTTTTTTAACATGTGTTTTGTTTTGTGGTTTTTTTTGGTACCGGGGATCAAACTCGGGTCCTTGCACTAGCAAGGCAGGCGGCAGAACCACTGAGCTAAATTGCCGGCCCCATGTGTTTTGTTTTTTGAGACAAGGTCTTGCTATGCAGTTTAGGCTGGTCTTGAACTCACCTTGTAGCCCAGGCTGGCTTTGAACTCTTGGAGATCCTCCTGCCTCAGCCTCCTGAGTGCTGGAATTAGGTATATGCCACCACACCTGGTTGTAACTGTGCTACTTTGAGTTATTAATCTCAAGTTTTCACTGTTTACCAAGGCTTCTGTTGGGCCCAGTGTTTTGGGAATACATACTTTAAGGTGCATGCGTGCCTGCGTGCTTGTGTGTGTGTGTACATACCAGGGATGGAACCCAGGGCCTTGCACATGTTAGGCAAGCACTTTACCTGAGCTACATCCCCAGACCTGAATTCCATCTCTGAAGTGCTTTTCTTTTCTTGGAGGTTAGAGTGGTCAAGAAGGTATATTAGAAATGTGTGAGCCTGATACTTAAAATTATCCTGAGTCTTTAAAAAAAGAAAAAGGCTCAAAAATCCCTTTATCTCGAACACCCATTGTGAACATCCTCTCAGCAATCTCTATATATATGTCCACAGACTGATAAATATAACCCTGACGTAAATGGTCTCAGTACCCTTGTTCTGTAACCTACTAATAGTCACTCAGATCTCAGATATTCTTTCTAGTCAATCTGAGCTGTATCACTCATCTAGTCTGTTTGGTTTATAAACCATAAAGTAGAACAGGGAATGTGGCTCAGTGGCAGAATGCTTCCCTAGCATGCTTGAGGGCCTGGTTTCAAAACCCAGTACTGCCAAAAAAAAAGAAAGAAAAGAAACCAAACAACAGCA